TATATATATATATATATATATATATCCTGCTACTGCGGTGTAACAGGAGTCTGGAGTTTTTTGTGTTCTCATACATTGTGACATTTTGACATCTTTCATCTACAATAACTACAGCGCACCTGCAGATCAACTGCTGGCATTTGAAACAATGAAGTATTGTAGGTATCATCAGTGTAGAACTTATTTTAATGTTAATTGCCATCTACATCAGCAAGCTATCCATTATTTGTACAGTGTACTCATGCTCCCAAGATTTTTTTGGTTCAGTACAAAATACTTTGGTGTTTTATGTTTCTAATGATCTGAAACTCCACATCCTGTTCTTCAGCATCTTATCTCTTAGGCAAAGTTGCTGAATTGTACCCTAAAGCCATTATACTATATATTTATGGTCTTAGCATTGTGCAGTATACTATTTTCAATGGTAGTTGACTTTCTCCTGCAATATACCCTCACCCTTTGTCTGTTACTCTATACTCCAGGCATTGAGCACATTCTTATAGTAAATCTGTTTTCTGTTCTGTTCTCAGGCTTAGGCAAACTGAAAGATGCACCAATCACATGTCTCATTTTTATGCTTTTATAATGCACTGTTGACTTCTTGCTAATTATTTTACAGTATTTTGAAAATACAAAACACTATAAGTATTTTGATACAAAATATTAAGCCATTTTCATCTCTTTCAAAAACAAATGACAAAATACTATGTTGTATTTTAAATACATATTTGAAAAACACGTATCATAAATACTGCCCATCCTTGGTGGTTATCAAAAGTTGTTGTTTATTTGCAAATTTATTTTTACTGCATGGTTCACTGCATAGAATTTTACTAAACTATTCTATACTCATGTTTTACATTCGTGTTTGCTGCATTATCCACTATCACAGCAACTGTTTTGTCCTTTAACTGAATAAATCAAGAATATCACCTATCTACACTTTAAAAAATGAATCTTGAGGCTTGTTATTTTCATTTTAAAAAATTGATGTGGTCATTAAAAATAATGGTTATATTTCTTTTAAAATTTATATTTTAGATTAATTATAAAATATTGAGAAGATTTTGCTAATAAAATCAAGAGATAAATTTACAGATTTTTTTAAGGAAACCAGTGCAATTATTAGGCTTAATTTGAGAAACCAATTAAGCTAATAAAATTGAGGAAAGATGACTTCACGTTTATTTTAAGAAAATTGAGTATCTTTATTAATCTTTCCATGTTTTTTGCTAAAAAATATAAATATGAGTAAACTGTGGTGGATTTGCTTAAATTATAAAAGCACATTCCACTAATAATATTAAAATCGTCATCTAACACTCAAAAGATTAGTAATTTTCACACGATTCATTCAAATGTTTTTTGCAAAAAAAGTCAAGTTTTCAAACTACTTAAAAACAACATGTGCAAAACTGTTACAACTATTTTTTTTTAAGTAAATAGCTCATAAGATTTTTTCTGCTACAATGTCCTCCCATTTAACAGACCTCTTTGTCCAAAGCAACTTACAACTAGGGAAGCATTCAGTGATTCAACAAGAAGAGGCAATACACAAAAGAGCCCCTTTCACACATACAGACCTTTCCGGAAAATTACCGGAAATTTTCCAGAAAGGTCTATATGTGTGAACAGGCCCTTTTTGAAAATACCGTTAAATTCAATCCAGCTATTTTCCGGAAAGAGAAGTTGTAACATTACTGGTAATTTGCCGGAATGCTGCGCTGTGTGAACGCAGAAGGAAGATTGCAGGAAAGAGCTTGTGCACGTCTAGAACGCGCTGTCGTGAGACGTCTACTTTAGCCAATCAGAACAGTCACACGCATTCACGTCTGCGTGGTTTATCAAAAAAAAAGCTTTTGAATATTTTTCCAGATGCATTTAGCTGCTAGATGTTAGTCAGATGTTTTCTATGCTCCTTCTTAATGCCAACTGTGTAAATAATTATCGATTAGATGCTTATGATAAATCGTTGTTTGTTTACCTTCAAGCTCTGCTTCCAGTTGCTTGACGTTTCGCACGTGCCCATCAAGCACACATATCATGTACATCTCGACATGCAAAAGTGTTACTCTTTATGTTTTCATCGAAGTTGTTCACAAAATTGATCCATTCACAGAATTTGTAATGTAGTCAATTGTTTACAAATACAGGCCCATTTCCATTCATTTTCTGGTTAATGATGTCAGAATTTACCGGTATTTTAGAATGGATGTTAATGGTCTTTTCTGGAAACTTTCCGTGATGTCCTCGCCTGTGTAAACAGCACTTTTTAAAAATTACTGGTAGTCGTTTTCCCAGAGATGGGTTGCGGCTGGAAGGGCATCCGCTGTGTAAAAACGTGCTGGTTAAATTGCTGTTTTTTCCGCTGTGGCGAACCCAGATTAATAAAGGGAGTAAGCCAAAAGAAAATGAATGAATGAAAAAGTCGTTCTGTAAATTTTCTGCGTGAAAGGGGCTAAGAAGTGCTCTATATAGAAATGAGCTTTTTGTGCACAGAGAATTTAGTGCTAGAGTGCCTTTTTGGGTTTCTACGAGTGGTTTGTCAAGTCCACACATCTGTGTGAAGCACGCTTCATAGATGCATTACTTACTTATCAAAGTGCGCCATAGCACTGCAATCTTAATCAAACTCTTGAGATAGACAAGAAAGCCATGATGAGGTAGGAAAATGCTGAGGGTGATTGCACCAGAACAATCCTCTTGCAGTCAAATAAGAATCAACTTTCTACAATTTTTCATTTTTTCCCATTAACCAACAAGTCACAGTGCTTCCTCAAGTTTAACGCGTCATTATACATACCACTCATCTTGTTTTTCTGCCGTTTCCATTGTCACATCCAGCCACTGGGCATCTGCTATAGTTCTTGTCAGCACAGTAAGAGAGCAGGGGACCAAAGAATAATAAGGTGTCTGAAATTGTCTTTGTTCAAACGCCTTTATTATAATCAGATTTTATTAAGGTGGATGTGAATAACTATCTTACTGAATTTGTGTTATGCATTAGCCAGCACTTTTAAATTTGATTGGAGTCCAGGTGTTCTGGCAAACATTTGACCATGGCAGTTGGTATCTCTTTCCCAGAGATGAGTTGCGTAAAAATGTGCTGGATAAGTTGGCGGTTCATTCCGCTGTGGCGACCCTGGATTAATAAAGGGATTAAGCCAAAAAGAAAATGAATGGTTGGTATTTCTAATTTGCTTAAGAGCAGACTCTTACAGCTCCCGAATTTTTTTTTTTTTTAACTCCGAGCCTTCAATTTTTATCAACTGTAAATGGTTTCTGTGTTGGTAAGTCATTTTTCATTCAGTGTTTATGATGGCTGTTATATCAATATTATTTATCATTTCTATAACGACTGAACAACACAAAACCACAGTAAAACAACTTAAACAACTAAATGCAAAGGTCTTAAAGGTGCCATATACTGCACTGGTTCAATAAGTGAAATTGTTCTCTGATTATACATAGATATATTGTTTAGGTGAGAAAATAATGATGGTTTTATATGCTCATTTACTACTTAATAAAATACCCCTAAAATCGGAAGGTCCATATTGACCATATTTGGATCAACTGTGAATATTAATGAGCTCCGCTGCAAAAAAAAAAAAACAGACATTAATCTACGGAGTGAATAAAAGGAGCTATCTAACATAAACCCATTAGAATACCAGTAACCTATTTTGCTGACGAGATGTTGTGGATAAATATTGAATTATAATTAAACTCAACAAAAGAGACTGATAGAGATGCTTGGTGTTTTATTTTTAAGCCATAATATCAAAGAAAACATGTGAGATTGAACATTTAAATACTAATGCAACGTAACTGATTTATTTGAGATTTCATACTTGGAAGTCAAATTTTGAGAATTTGTACAGACATCCATGTTGGCCATATCATTTAGCCCTGTCATGGTATTAGCTTTTCCTACCATGTAAATCAAAGATTACAGGTTTCCAGCTTTCTTTAGAATCTTGTTTAGTACAAAAAAGAAAAAAAAAATAATAAAAAACAAACATCTGGAACAATTTCAGAGTGAATAAATTTTCATTATTGGCTAAATGATCCCTTTAACAGCAGAAACAAACCTCTAGAAGTTAAATAAGGACACCACACTTTTATAACCCAATGCCAAAAGCCAACTTGCAAATGTAAGCATCGTTCGAGGTTACAGAAGTAACCCTTCGTTCCCCTTCCCCCGAGGAGGGGAACTTCAGTGCCATAAAGTGGATTGATTGGAAATCCACGAATGGGAGATTCGGATCAAAAGCTGCTTGTCTGGAGAGTATTGAACGGGCCAATAAATGAAAATGAATTGGCAGCGTAAGCTTGCGCAGGTGTGCTGCATCGCCAATTATCCCAGCATATAAGCACACCTGAAGCCAGCAAACGCTATCCTTTTAAGCTGAAGAGACTTTCAAACAGCTAAGGGACAGTCATTATGGCGACGGAGTATGGCACTTCCGTTCCCCTCCTCGGGGAACGAAGGGTTACTTCTGTAACCTCGGACGTTCCCCTTCGGTTGGGGAACTTCAGTGCCATAAAGTGGATTGAATCCACGAATGGGAGAAGTATGGAAAGCGCCATAATGACTGCACCTTACCAACGCCCCCGATGAGGGGATAGTCAAGCAAGCGTGACGCACCCACATCATGGGAGGCGCGGTCCTCCAACGTGTCCCTGGCCCTAATTTATCCTACTTCGACAGAAGTCTTACGGATTTAGATA